TCGGCAAACAACGGTCCTAGAGGTGATCCCATAGCCACACCATCCTTTTGTCGATTAATCTGCTCGTTGAACTTGAATTGGATTACAAGTTTTCCTTGCTCTATCTGCTAGACAGCGCACCAAATTCCTCTTCACTTTGAGCGGTTCTTACGTACTGTCCTCACACACGATGGCTATCCAGAACGATTGGTTAGCAAGATGATTCAGTGCTGTGGAGATATTGTGAAGAAGACTGAGGTCAGAAAGAAGTCGGTATACATTGCCTTGCCGTTCAAGGGGGATACATCAGCAGAAGTAATACAAGGGAGACTATCAGATGCTGTTAGTAATACCTTCCATGCAGCAAAGCTCAATGTTTTGTTCACTTCCCAGCCAACTGTGTGTTTACGACTAAAGGACAAAATACCGGATTCTGCCGTCTCATTTTGTGTGTACTCATTTACGTGTTCCTGTGGATATTGATTTATATATAAACAGCGTAATATTTATTGTGATGTATTTGGCATGACTGCGAATCACTGAAAACGAGCTTGTTCGCCACTCCTTGTTCTATTTGAAATGTGCTCTGTGGGACTGTTTAGACGAAAAAATATTTCATGAATGAGGCTTACTTGTTCAGCCAGGTGTACTTCGACAATATCCAGGTACTGGGTGAGACGATCATGCTGGGCACGGAAATCCTGTTCCTGTTTGTCAGTGGCTGTCGACTGCGGACCTTCAGTATCCGGATCCACAAAGGATTTGGCAAAAGAGACTGTGGTCAGCGAATTCGGTCCGGACGATCTTGGATGGAGTGGAATGACTTGGGAAAAAGTTCGCGCATGTTGTAAGTTGAATCCGGACTCGAAAAACATTGAAGGAATGGAATTGAGCGAATTGGTTCGAGTGGTAGATAAATCTAGAAGCAAACGGTCGATAGTACAAAGCATAAGAGGAGGGGTTAATGAAAGATTATCTGCATGAGAAACAAAGCAGAGATGTTGGGTGACATTGATGCGTGTAAAACACACGATTCCCGTTTAACCAGCGTCACCTAACCGCCAATCTCAGGGATGGGGGGGGAGGGTACCCATTTGCACCCGCATGATTGCACTTTTGTACCCAATGGAAATGAGCACCTGACAGGCAGTACGCGAAACGGAGAACGTATTAATTCCACCGGATTAATGACATGGTTTGAAAGTTCTAGAACAGATTTTATGACAGAAGATGTTCTCGGAGCTCGATTTATCGAATCCCAATCCGCTTGCATATCGTAGCACCCGGGTCAACCCTCGAAACACCTCCCCCCCCCAAACTCATTCATCGTGTTTCCTATTCCTTGGACAGAAAATGTAAAGTTATTCGGTCGTGTTTCTTCAACTAATAGTGATACTTTCAGAAACGCTGATAGGACAAAACTTCCTCATGCTCTCTCTCTCTCTGGAAAGGAATTTAACCGTAGCTTACCGACTTGTTACGTACTTATTTCACCTATCGATTACACTTTACTAAATATAAGGGTCGCAACTGTTCACTTTTGTTCAACGTGGTATTCTCTCTCTCCCTTCCTGTTCACAATCGATATTTCTTACACACCTGTTTTTTTGGTGATTGTTTGTCCATTAAGTACGGCATGGAGTTTTCCAATTCCTCCGTGTGGTGCAAGCGAATGTATAAAACTTCACCGCTCACCGATCGGTATTCACGTTACAACTTTTACAATGAATCCTTGCAAGTGTGAGAATGCTTTTTATTTTCTTTGCTAAAGGATGCCAAATCCATGGATGTGATGAATTCCTGTCAGTGCGTCATTATCAATGGAGAAAAAGTTTTCAAAGGGTGGTCTTTTAAATCATCATCATACAGCGAGATACAGTGAAGCGAACTTCACCGATCACTGACAAGCTCACAATGTACACAAATCAAGTGATTAAGCACAAGATGGACAGGGATCGGGCCTAACTGGATGGAGGCATGGAAAGTGAACATCTACGGTCAACACACAGAGGGTGCACAATCGAACTCTGCATACCTACCGTTTCAAGCATTCTGATCTGATAAGATCTGATAACAACAAGAACGCCACTGCTATCGGTTCACTGCTATATCCGTCAGTGGCTCCATCCAATCATTGGCAGAGTCTTTCAGACCCCAACCTGGAGGACGAGAGATACCTATTCTACCTAATCGCTCTGGGGCACATCAGTATACCTTGTCTCCACGCCACCTCTGTTGACCTCCACGCGGTTTCTTCCAACCTAGAGCCGCAACTGTGAATAAGGCGCGGTGCGGCAGACGATGGCTGGACATGCGCAATTCGTGTCCTAACCAGCGAAGCCGACTAATCTGAATTCGATGGGACAACGAATTCTCCTTTGAATCATTACCACACTCGCGACGCCTTGTCTCACAGTTGCTTACAAGCTCACTCTATCCAACCCGCGCCAAACTGTGCAAACATATGCAGTCGAATACTTCAAGATGACGAATATCTTCCACGCTCAAATTCAGGGTATAGCAACCATAAAGCAGAACTGACAGCACACTGGCGCGGTAAACATGAAGTTCCAGTTTCAAAGAGGATACCTCGGAGTTACCATTTCCCCATGTCACTGAGACATTTCACAAAGCCAAAAAGCTCGCCTTTTCCTATATGCGGTCGGAAAAGCTATCTGTCTACCTCAACCCACCTAATAAAACGTTTTGTCTTCTCATGTATCCTTCTCCGCTGGCTTTATGCAACGACAATTATCCTTCCCGGTTTTCTTATCGAAGACTTCGAACTCAAACGAATATATCCATCAAACACGTATGCCGACACAGTGGTATATTTGTTGAACATCTTGTGCAATTTATAATTCCACAGTACCTCAATGTTTGTTAGAAACTTTCTACCAGAATCTCACCCCGAAAGATTGATCACTCACTCCAATTATAAGCAGCACGCGGCACAACATATACGTCCGCTATAATATCATACCTTGAGCGGTTTCTTACTAAAGGCCGATTGTGTTACTGAAAGCCTTATTAAACTGAAATTTTACGCAAATTGCTGAATTGTGTATGTGTGTGTGTAGTTTATCATCATTCTTCTTGATTTTGCCCCGACCTTTGCTACCCCTACCGAACAGTGATGATTGTGTGATAGCCGAATGTTTATCCCCCGCTTGAAAACGGGAGGAGGCAAAATTAAAGCGGATTCTTGACTTGACTTGACCGGAACAACAGAGAAAATCGTAACTGGATTAGCAATCATGATATAGTAAAGACAGAGTGTCTCATAAGGGAAACGCCGAGCGTCCAGGTTGAAAAACAGTGGGTGTAAAAGCTGAGGGTATCTTTTGGATGAAGATCAGCCTGATTTATATCAGTGCTTTGAAGAGGACAGGAGAGGGGATCGATGGCAATACTGAAACTGATAGGAGCGCAACACTTGATACGTAAGACTGGTAATCAAGGCTAACATACGTGAATTCACAAAGGTCAGGGAGGGGGAAAGCCATTGCAATCGTGAGATGATTGCACCTGATCACTTGATTCATTAGAATACTTTCAAAAGCCTCACTGTATGGTTGCCGGTGGGTGTCTAGGGTTGCGGCTGATCACCCTTCCCTTGCACCTCGCGCAATGCTCTTTCATATATAACCAAACGTCTCGAATGGCTCCCGCAGAGGAAGTCCTACTCACTGGTTTCTCGTGGGGCGGAGGTATTTTCCCACCAAAGTGAGATGACGAAAAGCCGACATTCGAAGATCTTTTTATTACACACCTAAGTAAGATGAACAGCAGAGCTGCCTACTACCGAAGTCGGGTGGCGGGGGTTAAACCTCGGATCATAGGATCCAAAGCACGCCGGTGATAGCGACTAAACCACTGCGCCACCACTTCTATATAACCGGATGAGTAAATCACTAGCAGTTCACCTATTACACATTATTACTACACACACACACACACACACACACACACACTCAAGTGTGATAAACAGCAGACGGGAAAAGCCCCATAATCACGACGACCTGCTGCTTCGTCGTGGAAACCGGTCACCCAAACCCTGGAACTTGAAGTGACGAACCACATAAGGCCTCGAAAGGTTAAATGTGGTATTGGACCGGACGACAGCAAAGCTGCCTACCACCAGAGCTGGGTGGGGTTCGCGGGGCTCGAACCTCGAACCACAGGGTCCAACGCACCTTCGTGACAGCGACTAAACCACTGCGCCACCACCGCCCAAGAAGAGGCATACGAACCACACATCTTCCAATTTGTGGCAGTGGTCACCGGCTCGATTGGGCTACAAGTACATTGGACACCTTCGATGTTTGATCCTGTCCTAAGGGCGTATGATCCGATGAGCTGGACACTGCCCCCGAATGGATTGCAGTTTTCACACACCGCCCCACTGCCTTGCGAGTCAAGCTTTGGCTAGCCGAAGGCTCCGGCTGTGGATTCCTCAAGAAAGTTTACCTGCCTTGATCTGGGCAACCTGATAGTATTCGGCCCACATGCAAATAATGGAACGTTTATCTTTTTTTGTAAAGATTATTGTACCACAATTAGTTTGGCACACAGTCTGGCCTCAGATGTGTGTGAAATATCATATATAATAATAATTCACTAGAACAGCCGAAATTGATAAACAAATTAAAGGGATACGAACAGTTAGTTGCATTCCCGTCGATTTGAACAGCTCGCTGTAATCGGTCCTGTTCTTTACTACATATGCTCCAGAAACCGAAATTGAACAGAGATGATGCGAAAATATGCGTTTTCAGCAACGCCTATTCAGACATTCCTGGAATTTTCACTGTCGAGTTCTTGCTCTACGACACTTGCATCAGTACTGGTGATTTATATGCACCCCAAAAGATCGATTTTCCCTGTTATACAAGTAGTCGAATGCCCATAATTCTCTTTCGCTTTTTTCCAGTGGGGCACTGTTGTCTTTCTATTCTTCATCTTCTCAGTCGTGTGGAACGAAAAACGATTTGACATCACCTTCTTTCCTGCAGCTGCGAGTCCACTGCAAACCGACTGTTTGGCTCTCACTATTTTTTCAACGACTACTTGTCGTTTCTTTTCGACACTCGTGTGCCGGTTTTGGTTGCCCATTTGGATGAAGGCAAGAGAGTTAAAAGTAGAGTCGAAGAGAAAATTGAGAATTTCAGTGGGCTAATGTTGAAGAGAAATCGACAAGATACACGGACGCCACTGGTTATGACACTCAACCGTATCACTTTGTGTCTCTAACCATCGGATACGATCATCCCGAGGTTCCCAGCCAAGGAGCCTAATGGGACCTGCATGACCCAGTCTCCTGGTTAGGGTTTTCATAATCTCATGTCAGATCTTCGATTGATCGCCCTTGACCTTTCTCCATCTACTACCTGCCTCGGCGAACATTGCTCGCCATGGCAACCTATTTAGTGGCATGCGTAACACATGCCCCAACTAACGTAATTTATGGTGATCGACCATTGGCTCCNGCGACTACGCTTAACCTCAGCATTGCTCTTCCGGTTAACCCACCAGACGCGTGCAATGCGACGTAGACAGCGGTGTTCAAAAACCGACAGTCTATCTTTATCCTATTTTCTGAATGGCTAAGTTTCTGCTCCGTATAACGGAACTGGCCAAACTGTAGCAGTATACACTCCATCCTCAACAGACAGCCGGATGTCGCGACGACGCCACACATGTCTCCAGTTGGCAAATGCCAACCGAGCCTTCTGTATGTAAGCTGACATTTCATTCGCGATACGTCCACGGGCTGAGATGGAGCTGCTAATCTCGAGTACGAAACGACAAGCCACATATGGACTACTCACTCCTGTGATCGTTTGTTGCGCAACCCGGTTCGAGAAATTTTTGC